CTTTCTCATCAGGTTGCAGAACATTCATTTTTCTGTTTTAGGTTCTGTGTGTTTAGCCCTTGGCAGTCTTAGCTTAGAGATTTGTGACCCAGCACTTTCGGCCCCACGTTGTTGTCTTGAGTTAACTTGTCAGTGGAGAAGTTAAGACGTAAGTCAGGCGCACACCTAGCCTCTGTAGCCCGCCTTATTGTTTCTGGTTTTGTATTCATGTGTCTGGCGGCAGTGTGTTTTGCAAACACTGTCATCTTCACGGTGTTGGGGAATCTTATTTCGTTGTCTGTCTCACAAGAGAGCCTGGCTAGCGATTGTATGAGCTGTTTCACTTAATGGCTTTCCTGAACGTGCGTTATATGGGTGGTTTTCTTTCCTCTTGCTGTTTGGCATCCTGAAGTACCATTAATGCTTTCCTCTGCCTTGGAATGTAGCAGTTCTTGCACTCAACATGCCCCCGAGTCCTCTTAAAGGAATGTACCTCCTTGTCTCTCTTTCCTTCATTCTATGTTTTATATCCACCTTTGTATATCCATTCTTTTCCAGGTTCTTCCGGTTGGTTTTCTCATCCCTTTCATCATTGCTGGACTAGAAATCACCGAAACACTTAGAGTGATTCAGAACTGATCTGGGCTTAGAGCCAGCTTAACTGTGAAGACTTGAGCTGACATCGAAGTTACTTTGCTTATTTGGGATGTGACTTTCATGATGCCTGTCAGGCAAAAGCTTACATGAATGTTTTATATTTAAAAGGAAAACTAAATTTCAAGTGGAGACATCCCTGGCGCTATATACCCCTTTCTCAGTCACATATTTCCCCTCAAGGTGTCATTCCTGTGTCTCGTTTTGGTCCTCATCCTTCTCCACTTCGTCCACTCCCATCCACTCACCCCCAGATACTTTGAACCGCATCCCTTTGCAATTCGAGCTGTTTCTGTTTTCTTTTTTCAAGTCTGATACCTAACAGTTTTATGTGCCCTAAGTAGACTAATAAAATGTAGTGTGTGTGTGTGTGTGTGTGTGTGTGTGTGTGTGTGTGTGTGTGTGAGAGAGAGAGAGAGAGGGAGAGGGGGGGGGGGAGAGAGGGGAGAGAGAAAGAGAGAGACAAACATGGCAGCAGTGGGGTGGGGGTGGGGAGTTGAGGAAGTCTGGTACATTTCCTCCCTGTCCCACAGAAAATGTGTTTTCTGAAAGCCCTTTGACACTGAAGTGAATGCCCAGTGGCCCTGCCTTTCTGAATTCTCCTGGGGGTGGGGGAGAGGGCTTTGTGCTCCTTGTCATCTTTTGTTTCTGCTGATTATACACAAAGTAAGCTGTAAATCGCTCTCTCATGCACCATGATTCCTCTGAGGGATGGACAGGAGAGCAGCCAGGTACCCTGCCTCAGCTTCCCCTGGGGATCTCATAGGCTCTTTCACAAGGCCTCTCACGTGCTGTTACCTAGCCAGCAAGATGAAGTCTTTATGTTCAAAACAGAATCCCACAAAGAAACCTGTAGAATCAAGTTTAGAAATACTAGCTAATCGGTTCATTATTTTTTCATCAACAGAAAAATCATTTTATTACTCTAAAAGCAAAGGTACTAAGAAGAAAAATTAAAGAAAATAACTGTCCATGAGGTCTTAATCCTTGTGAGTATCTTGTGAAAAATCATTATAGTTTCATCTTAGAGTATGGTATTGAAACAGACACTGGTTACTAAGACAGAGGAACATGGATAAAGAAGAATCTCAAAGTCACTTTAATATTTAGATAATATTTCAGGGTCTCAATTCACGGTGGAGGAAAGATAGGTGGACAATTATGTCAGCCCTCTATGGAAGTCACTTTCTGGTTGTTTTTAGAGAGCTGGCTACCTTTGGAGGTTTTTAAGTCAGAAGATGGAGGAATCCATACCAAATTACAGCCAATTAGCCGTCGTCGCCCCAGATGCTGCTTATTTTCCGTAAGAATTTCTCCATCTGCTAACGATGGTACCGGCGGTGCCAGTTGTGGTAGGGCACTGGGCATTGTGAGAGGACAGCCCTCTTGAACTGAGCAGTTGGATTTGAACCTCTGTTGTCTTGTCTCTAGAATGTGGGAGTCTACTTTCATGAGTCCTTCTGTTTTCCTTTTTCCTGCTAGAAAGGCTAGGACTCCAAGTTCAGGAATACTGCCCACTACTAGTTCTTCTTTGTGTCTAGGACTGTTGAAACATCCTGGTAGCTTGCTACAGTTTTCCTTCCCAGCTTAAAAGACTTTGTTTCCTCTCAGAACTGTATTTCTAAGTGTCTGAAGTTGTAATTGAATGTAATTATAGTTGTTTAACTTTCTCCTTTCCTCTTGAGAGTGTTTATAAAGTGCATTCTGTGAGTGTGAGGATAAAAAGAAACTAGAAGCTTAGTATTTGTGACATGGTCAAATAATATTAAGATAAGTAGCAATTTGCTTTGTGTATGTGAAATAAGGTATTGTTTACACACAATTTGCAATATATACATTCTGGCTTATGGAAACCATTTCAGTCAGCTCAGTAGTCACATTTGTTAGAGTTTTATAGGAATCTTTTGCGGGATGGGAGAGAATTCATTTTGATATTGAATATTCCAAGATTGATTTTTTTCCTTTTCCTTTTATTGTCCCCTTGAGAGAATTACTGATGCAGAACTCATTAGTGCCCCTCCATATGTCAACTGCAGGGTACAATCAGCATCATTTCCATTTGTGACAGAACACAAATTCCTAATGCCTCTGCTTCTCTAGGCTCAGTTTTCCGCCCCCCCTCCCCACAATTTAGAGTATGAATTCTTTTGAAAAATGCTTATATTGTTTTAGAATTAAACACAAATAGTGTATGATTTCCTGTGTTGTCTTTATAATATGTAAAATCAACAAATATCTCTAGAATTGATGACACTAAATGGAATTTTTCTTACTTAGTATCTTGTCCTCAATATTTCTTTTCCTTTTCATTTCTAAAGTTTGATTTTGCAACTTAATAGCAGGTAACATAGAGGTAATTATCTACTCTAAGCCTTCATTTTTTTTACTTATAAAATGGAAATACTCATATAAAATTGTTGAAGATAAAAAGTGGCTTAATTTTTATACAAGGTGCCTACACACTGACTCACAGATGGGGTTGGTAAAATGCTTGTGTAAAGAGGGGATTATTATGGGCTGGAGAGATGGCTCTGTGGTTAAGAGTACTGGCTGCTTTTTCAGAGGACCTGGGTTTCTCTCGCACATATTATTATTCACAATTGTCTCTAACTCCAGTTCCAGGGGATCAAACACGCAACACCCTTTCTTGGCCTCCATTGGTACCAGGCATGCATATGGTACACAGACATACTATATAAATAAAAATAAAACAAAGACTTGGGACATGGTGGCACATGCCTGAACCCCAGCACTTGGATGGTAGAAGCAGGCAGACTTGGGATTTAAGGTAACCTTCAGCCAGACAGCCAGGTAGAGGCCAGCCTGGGTTATATGTGAGACCCTTCTCATAAACAGACTAGACTTACTGTGACAGCAGATGACATTAGGCATTTTACTATCTGAGCCGCAGCTATATGGAAGATAAATCAGAGATTGAAGCAGATAGGAGAGCCTTGGTTCTAAAATTGTTTGAAAAATTGACTGGGTTATGTTATGAGGGACAGTCCTTAGAGCAGGTGGGACTTACTAAAAACTGTTTGGAGCTTGAGCATCAAACTGATTTGTAAGTTGAGAGAAAGAAGGGAATAATTTTAGTCACTTACCTGGCTGAGGACTGACCCCTTAATGAGGACATTGATAACACAGATGATCTTAACTGGAATTTTGAAAGGCTCATGCAAAGATACTGGTGATATGTCCCATAGTTGGTGTATTGAGGTAGATATTGGTAGCTATGCAATTAGCACAGATAGTATGTATTGGCAAATACCAAGAGAAAATTTTGTGTTTGCTGTTCTGGGGGTGGAATCCAGAGCTTTGCTTACGTCACTCAACCTCTCTATCTTTGAGCTAGATCTCCAGGCCCCAGAGAAAAATGTTAAAAGTAGGAAATAAGTTTAGATGGATTCTGAATCCATTTCTCATCATCTCTTAAAATGAGAGATGAAATAAGTTGGAATTGGCAATATTTAGGGATCATACTGACTGTAATGGAAGACACAATTTTGAGGATAGAACTCTAGATGCCAGGAATTATCTATTAAATAACATTTTATTGTTGTTAGTTTGGGAACGAATTTTATGCCATGTTTCTTGTACTTAAAGACAGTGTGTTTTGATGACTGGGGGTTTGTGTGACAGCAGAGCGCTTGCCTACAGTGTGTCAAGCACTAGGGCCAGCGTCCTACCTGATAGGAACAGAACATCCCTTTCCCAACAAACAAGAAGCAAAACAACAGAGTGGCATGCAAATAAAATAGAAATATAAGTTAATAATATATATAATATAATATAATATAATATAATATAATATAATATAATATAATATAATATAATATAATATAATATAATATAATATAAGTCAAAATCTACCTGTGCTAACATATTCCTGAAGAGGGGAAATTAAACCTGTTTTAAGAGTAGAAAGGATCTTTAGACAATGTAGAATGCAATTCACTCGATCTTTCTCTGGAAATTTGAAGGCTAGGTGAAAAGAAGGTATTATCAATGTCCAGGAAAGAGTCTATGTTTCGGTCTGTTTCCTTCCCTCATTTTCTCCTTTCTAACCTCCCTTCTTCTTGTCTATAGGTATTTATGACTATTTGTGCTGTATGATGTAAATATGGCGTCACAGCCATAGGGGCAAAATTTATGTAGATCTTTCCTTTTTATAATTACCTTTTCCTAGTTTATAAACTACATTTTGAATATTTTCAATATATTTGTCATAGCAAATGTCAAGTGTGTCTCAGGTAGTCAAGGCCTTTTTCAGACCCGCGGTTGTGATGTCCCTGCTTCTGTCTGGGTAGAGTGTGACTGTGTTGCAGCCCCCATACCCAGCATCTAACTCGGCCATATTCCCTCAGGTTCCACTGGCATGTGCTGGCAGAGTGCTGGGTGCAGACTTTTGCCCAAACCTGGAGGAGCCAGACCAGAGGCTGGAAGTCCAGGTTGGAGTCTTACTGTTTATTAGCTGGGGGTGGTGTTACAGAAACAGTGATCCCTGGAGGCCATCCTAGTGTTACCAGTGCTTTCACGAGGTGACAACCCTTGAGACAGATGCAAAGAGGAATTGATGTGGCAGATATGTAGTAAAAGGTCCTTGTAAGGCACGGATTGGAAGAAATTTATTATCCGTCTGTCCGTCTACCCACGCACCCATCCATCCATCCATCCATCCATCCATCCATCCATCCATCCATCCATCCATCCATCCATCTATCCATGTATGTATTTGTGAATATATATATATATATATATATATGTATGTAGGTATGCATGCATGCATGTATGTGTGTGTCCGTCCATCCATCCATCCATCCATCCATCCAGAAAGTATACTCTGGGGTAGTAAAAAAATCCTTGATCCCTGAAGGCTGACTGTGTAGACTGACACAGGTTGCTACAAGATTTTTGTCAAATGATTCAACCTGGGTACTTAATAAGAAAAGCAACACTTAACAATAAACATCGTCTGTCTTAGTACATTGGGAGATGTGAAAAGTACAGTTCTCCTGAAAATGTTGGCTTGGGTTTGAGTTCACTTTGTGTGGTCTTGAGGCATTAGACCTGGCTTGGCATATTGCAAAATAAAAATATAAAGATGATGAAGAACATCTCTGCTTCTGTGTGCTTTTGGATTTTTGAGGGATATGTTTGCCATTACCATGTACAGGCTGAAGTTTCAACATGGATGGCATGAATAAAACCATTTCACTTTTTGTGAGAGTCTCAACTTGGCATCATTTTCTAAATTTTTCAGACTTTACTGAATAAGTGTATTGAGTACAATATTAAAGTATTTTTTACTGATTTGGATGCAACACATAATAAAAGAGAACAATTTTTACAATTGAGTTCCTCATAGTGGGAATGAGGTTGAGATAGGAGGCTTCAATTTTTGTGGTACTAAAGGGGGGTGTACCATTTCTTGCACACCTGCTCTTGGCCTAGAGAAGACCACCTGAGCTTTGTTGTATCCCAAGCTGGTACTGTCTAGGTGGTGTATGGATGTGGTACAATAGAAAAGCAGGTGTGTCACATTCGAGTTACGATCATGTATTTCCTAGTTCTGGAAAACGAACAGCTATGTGACATGCAGATGCAGAGTGACAGAAGACTTCTTGTGGGGAGTAGCTTGATCCTTGACTTTTGGCCTGACATGGGGATGTTCTTCCAGCAATCACCATTAGTGGCTTGTGAGGATGATTGTGAGGATAATGTGTTTTGAACCTTGAGTTATAGTGTGAAGAAAATGGGTTTGTTATGCTAGTCTACAGTAAAATGTAAAACTATTTATTTAGCATATTTTCTTGGCATAATGAAGGGGGGGAAGTATATGTACATGTTTAGTAAAATTCTGGTTGTAGATAAACAGTATGGTTGACAAATCATTATGGGCTCTGCAAAGAAAACCAGTATTTCACAAAGTAAGGAAAGTGGTCACATTACTAGTTACTTTCTTCTTTAACACTATTTTAGTAGACTGAAGGGGAAAATTAAATTTCTTGAAAGATTGCCAACTAGGTTGAATTGGTGAATTAGCCAGGACACACGTAAACCATTTCCTTCTCTTTTCCTTTCCTCTCCTGGGTATGGCTTCCATACCTTTTAGTAATGCCTTTTGGCCATATTATGTCACTTACAATAAACTAAGTCCGTTCTTTACCAACTAACTGTTCTAGAATGATTTTTTTTTTTTTTTTTTTGGTTTTTCGAGACAGGGTTTTTCTGTGTAGCTTTGCGCCTTTCCTGGAACTCGCTTTGTAGACCAGGCTGGCCTCGAACTCACAGAGATCCGCCTTCCTCTGCCTCCCAGGTGCTGGGATTAAAGGCGTGCACCACCACCACCTGGCTTTGGAATGATTCTTGTGCTTCATTTTTTTTTTTTTCATCCTTATCATGGCATTTAGTTTGTTCCCCTTTCTTCTGTGAGGGAAAGAGCCATGCACTTCAGGGAATGCATTGCAGGACTTGCTAGAGTCATCCGCCTTTCCCACTTGGGTCTTAGGCTTTTCTCTAGTGCCTAGGCATTGTAAAAGGCTAGAGGGCTGCTGTTTGGCCTCATGATTCTCAGAGTAACTTCCAGGGCACCTCAGTTTGGAAGCAACACTTTGTTTATATTCCTTCTTACAGAGAATTTTCATTTAGGGATACACTCTCATGTATGGTTTAAATTGTATACTTTAGTTGATTTATGTTCTCATGACTCATGAAGCCTCTTTCTTCCCTTAACTTCTTTCTTTTAAATCCTTGCCTTTTATTCTCATATTTTCAGCTATCTTAGCAGCTTCATGGTTTAATAATCTTGATACTTTCAGTACTTATCCTCAAATCTTTGGTCTTGAGTAACTGTCCTACAAGTCTGATCTCAGATTGACTTTTGCAAAGGTATCTGCTGTGTTTTGGGGTTAACATGCTTGATAGACTAGTAGCTAGAAAGTCAGTTTTAGTTCATTTTATGTCTTGGTTTATTTTCCTCAGTAGCTTCTGAGGTAGAGGCAAAGCTGGGCATTTTCTGTGTAACTTGGGAGTTTAATTGATAAATAGCAGCAAAGAATTGTATACTCATAATTGCCTTCTAGGAGGTTGTCCTTCTAGGGTAGACCCCTCTTAATTGCTGACAAGTAGTTTTTAATTAGGAAATTTTTAATTCATTTTACATACCAATCACAGATTCCCCCTTCTTCTTTCCTCCTGCTTCCCTGCCCCCAGCCTTCTCCCCCTCAACCTACCCTCCCATTCCTTCTTCCAAAATGGTAAGGCCTCCCATGGGGAGTCAGCAGAGCCTGGTAACATTCAGTGGAGGCAGGTCCAAGCCCCTCCCCCTGCCTCAAGGCTGTGCAGTGTCCTACCATAAGTATTGGGCTCCCAAAAGCCAGCTCATGCCCCAGGGATGGATCTTGATCCTGCCTCCAGGGGGTCCCTTAAGCAGATCAAGCTACACAACTGTCTAGATTATGCAGAGGGCCTAGTCCAGTCCCATAGAGGCTCCATAGCTGTTGGTCTAAAGTTTATGAGTTCCCACTAGCTTGGTTTGGTTGTCTCTGTAGGTTTCCCCATCATGATCTTGATGCTGCTTCCTCATAGAGTCCCTCTTCCCTGTCTTTGACTGGACTCCTGGAGCTCGGCCTGGTGCTTGGCTGTGGATCTCTGTATCTGCTTCCATCAGTTACTGGATGAAGGCTCTATGATGACAGTTAGGGTATTCATCGAACTGATTACTGGGGTAAGCCAGCTCAGGCACCCTCTTCACTAATTGCTAGTAGTCTAAGCTGGGGTCATCCTGTGGATTCCTGTGAACTTCCCTGGCACTGGGTTTCTCTATCCCCATGATGTCTTCCTCTATCATGGTATCTCTTTCCTTGCTCTCCTACTCTGTCCCTGTTCCAGCTTGACCATCCTGTTCCCTTATGTTCTCACCCCCCCCATTCCCCTACCCTCTATTGCCTCCTTCACTCCCAGTTTCCTCATGGAGATCTCATCTCTTTCCCCTTCCCAAGGCGATCCATGCATCCCTCTTAGGGTTCTTCTTGTTAGCTAGCTTCTCTGGAGCTGTTGATTGTAGTTTGGTTGCTGGTAAGTATTTTATATGTTTAATTAAAAAGTTACCTTTCTTAGCCTCACTGTATCTCATCATGGGTTGAGTTGTTACAGTTAACTTAGCATTTTTTTTCTTGGTTGGGAATTCACTATGTGAGGTTTGACTTGGTCTTTTTCACCACTGAAGTGCTTAGAAAATTAGAGTAAATAATGAGCCAATATTTCAATACCAGATTAGACACAATTTACTGTGATGTTTCATAAACCACAGACTCCTTTCTTCTGTGAATGCGTGAAGGATCTCTTTTTTTTCCAGACATACCGGGGTGCAAGTGTAAATTTCCATACAATTTAAATGAGGTGCTTCCTGTAATTAATGGACAATTGTGGCTGCTCTCTGGTCTGCATTGTAATTAACCGTGATCAGGCTTGTTTAGTGATGACACTGTTCCTGTAATAATTTGACAAGCTACTGTGAATTTGCCAGGTTATTAAACAACCTGCAGCATTCCCTTCTGGAGTCACAGGGATGAGCTCCACAGCAGCAGCTACTGCTGGCTAAATGCAGCATGAGGGTGGACCAGAAGCAAACCCCTTCAAGTCCATCTATCACCGCAAGCAGATTGATATTCCTGTGATTTTGGAGAACTTAATTCATGTGGTATGGGGGCATCTTGAAAACTTGATTTATTGTGTGATGAACCTATCGGGGGCAAAGCTGATCATTTTTAAGAACACACAACGAAGCCTGCAAATTGTCTGTCGTGTACCAGTGTGAACAAAATGGAGACAGGTTTCCCTTACCACCTTATTAGAAAGGTATAATTAATTTTTAAAAAGTTCTTCTCAGATTCACTTACATATAGCACCCCCATATAAGATTATTCTCTCTCCTCTCTCCCTCCCTCCTTTCGTCCCTCCTTCCCTTCCTCCCTCCCTTCTTCCCTCTCTTTCTTTCTCTCTTTGTTAGAAACAGCAGATGACTGTGTAGTGAGCAGTCACATTGCAGGTCCTCAGCTCTAAGTGGACTGGTAGCTGTCCGTCCCTGGTCACTAGTTCACCATCCCCCACCTCCCTTCAGGTTAAGAGCTGTTCAAAACGTTACTGTCTAGTTACTGTGCTGTCTTTCATTCAGATTCTGTTTATTGACTAAACCACAAGGATTCCTGCCCAAAGTACCAGGCGGTCTATGCTTGACTGATTTTGATTTTCTAACATCAGCCCTGGGGTTTATTTGAAAAATGTACACACACTGCAGCTTTAACAAGTCAAGTGACTGCATGTTTTTGACCATGGAGTAGAGTCTATCTGAAGATCATTAAATTTGGTGGTGGGGGTGGCTGTGGTCGAGCATAAAGCATGGTAGTCCTTGCACCATTTCTGTGTGTGTGTGTGTGTGTGTGTGTGT